AAGGCTGGAGTGCAGTAGCATGAACACAGTTCACTCCTTCCACCTCAGCCTCCAGAGTTGCTGGTTCTACAGGCATATTGCCACCCTGCCCGACTAATTTTTGTTTATTTTTTGTAGAAATGAGATCCCACTATGTTGCCCAGGCTGATCTCAAACTCTTGGACTCAAGTGATTCCCCCACTTTACCTCCCAAAGTTCAGGGGTTACAGGCATGAACCACTGTGCCTGGCTAGGACTTCTTATATATAAGATCTTGTTTTGGATATGAAAAGGCAATTTTACACTTTCCTTTGGAATCTGCAGTCCTTTTCTTCATTTGTTCTTGCATGATTTTTTAAATTATACTTTAAGTTCTGGGATACATGTGCAGAATGTACAGGTTTGTTACATAGGTATACACATGCCATGGGGTTTGCTGCACCCATCAACCCGTCATCTACGTTAGGTATTTCTCCTAATGCTATCTCTCCCTTATCCCCCCAACCCCCTAACAGGCCCTGGTGTGTGATGTTCCCCTCCTTGTGATTTTTTTAACAATGTCATCAAGGACAATGTTGAACAGAAGTGGCAAAAGCGAATATTTGTGCACCTTGTTCCCAGTCTTATGTGGAAAACATTCTTTCCACTAAGTGTGATGTTTTCTGTAGGTTTTCTATATTACCTTTATCAGGCTGTGGAAATTCTCTTCAATTATTGGTTTGGTTAAAATTTTGGTTATATGTTAGGTATAGTGAATTTTTTTTCTGTGTCAATCTGATAAACACATGTTGGTCTTCCTTCACTTTTACAATATGGTATATTACATTAATTGTTTTAGCCACTTTATTGACATATAATCGGTGTACAGAAAACTGAATGTTTATTATATTCAATATGACAGGTGTGGAAAAACACTTGTGATATAGAACCACAATCAAGATAATAAATATATCTATGTTAATTGTAATGACCACAGGGCCCACACATTCAAGGACTTGAGGAATCATTTAGAAGAATAGATACAAATTGATACATCACGTTGTTTTAGTTGCCATATAAACTATATATCAGTGCACATTTCCTCTTGGTGTAAGGGTCCTTAATTATTTTTAAAAATTGGGTTCGTTTTGCTAGTATTGAGAACTTATTTTGCCAAATTCAACAGGGGTAGTGTTCTGCAGTTTTTTCTTTTCTTCTGTGGTTTTTGTGTTACAGTAATTTTGGCCTAGCATAATTAATTGGGAAGTTTTTCCTTCTCCTTTTTTTGTATTTGTAAAGGATTGGTTATAATTGTTCATCAAAAATTGGCAAAATACACATCACTGATGCCATCGAGATTGGGAATATTCTTGGCCTGAAGATTTTTATTATTTTTATTTTAGATTCAGAGAAAACATATGCTTGTTTGTTACAAGGGTATATAGCATGATGCTGAGGTTTGGGCTTTGACTGAATGCATCACATATGCAGTGAACATCATACCCAATAGGTGCTTTTTCAACCCTTGTCTCCTTCCTCTCCCCACATTTTGGAGTCTCCATTATCTTTTGATTCCCATCATTAATTCCATGAGGACCCAATGTTTAGCTCCCATGTATAAGTGAGCACATGTGGTATTTGTTTTTTCTTTTTCTCTGTTAATTTGCTTGGGGGAAAAGGCCTCTGACTGCATCCATATTGTGGCAAATTGCATGCATCTAGCTCTGCTATACATAATTAACACCAGAGGCCTCAATATTTTTTCTTTTGCAAAGATAGGGGATTGGATTAAATGTATCCAACGGATGTTTTTAAGCAGTTTAAATACGGAGCCAGTTAGATCACTTGTTCATTTTGCTAAAATATATTTGGGGAGAGAGAAGGAGCACTTGAGGATTTTAGGCTATGGATGGCCCCACATTCTCATCTAAATCGTCATGGGACCATCGGCTAACATTAAAGCATTTTACCCAAGAAAATGCCTACTTTCCTCACAAGAGAATATTTGCATCTGCTACAGAATTTTCTTTTATCCTTGATTATCATTTCTGGTTTTCTGGGTCCTTTAAGGCTGTTTTAAGCTTTGTGTGGACTGATAGACAAGATGTAATTTAACTCTTACAGAATCAACCTATAGCAAATTTCAGAGGACATTTCATGTGATCCCTTGATTCCATTCCTATCCGGTGACTTCCCCTATGTGGGAAAGATTTCCAAAGATTCACCAAGCAATAATACATAACTTTCTTTTGAATTATTTTTCCTGGGTTTTTTGAGCTTGAATCTTCAAGAAGAAATCATTTATATAATGTATTTTATTTAGATACTTTGTAGCTGCAATTTGGCATGCAAAACTATTTTTAACAGGTATAATTTTCTAAGTATATCAAATAGAAAATATTCACTTCTAGATACAGCATTTGTGCATATTAGAAGCTGTTTACTGAATAAAATAAAATGTATGATTCTATTTATATGTAGTACCTGGAATGGGCAAATTCATACAGGTAAAAACAGAATAGACTTTACCGGAGGTAGAAGCGAGAGTTGTTTAGTGAGTTGGGGGAGATGAAAAAGTTTGGGGCATAGGTAGTTGTGATAGGTACATAGCATTGTAATTGCATTTAATGTCACTGGATTGTACACTTACAAATGGTTAAGATGATAAATATGGCATGTATATACACAATAAAAACCTGTAACTTCTAAGAAGAGATATATATACACACACATATATTATACATATGTACATGTATACATATACACGTGTACATGCATCCATAGGCTTCAGATTAAATTTGCCTCTTCTCCTTAATTTATTATAGAAGGCCAAGTTAGGTAGGGAACGAAAAGTAGATTAATTTGGTCCTGGGAATTTTTTTGTTTTTGAATTTTATTTGGCTTACCACTAAGAGTAGAAACTCAATTTGAATGTGGGTGCCACTCTTCTTTATAATTCAGAAAATATTTCACTATTTTGTTTATTTGCTGTAAGGACAAGGACTCTATTTTTTTTTCACTGTGGTACAAGAATATTTTTAGGACTGAATAGTTATAAGATGCAGAGGAAGGTAACCTTGAAGCTCAATTCTCAAATTAAAGTGTTTTGTATAAAATTTCTTACCATTTTTGTAGTGTTGACCTTAGGGAATTTTCTAAGCTCACCTATTTGGCTTCAATAAACTATAATATAATGTGCAATTTCTTTTCTTGTAGGCCAAGAAGTAGCCATGTGAACAGTTGGGATTTGCTTCCATAAAATTCTTCTCAAGTCAAACAGGTCAGAGAAGAAACTAAAAATAAATTTGTGGAAGTCAGCATTCATTTACGACTAACAAAGAAGAGGAAAATTCCAAGAGAAATAGCAAGCACAGAGCTGCTTCCTTAATAAAAATCTACCAATCTACTTCAAATTTAAACCCAGTTGTTAATTAAAAGAGACACATAAAATACATTGGCATTAAAATAACCTCAGGAAAAGGAAACCTGTTATCACCTCTCTTTTTGAACATCATTCTTGAAGTGCTAGCCCACGCAGACAGGGAGAACTGAACAAGCATGTATATAGGAAAGAAAATGGAAAACTTGTCATTTTTGGATGATATAATTGTCCACCACGGAAACCCAGAATAGTCAACAGTAACTTAGAACTAGTAAGAGGTTGGTTACAATTGGATATTCATTTACAAAAGTCAGGAAGTTGGGCATGTCTTCTACCTGCAGGTCTGGGAATGCATCAACAAGGGAGGTGGAACACAGGTTCCAGCTGGGTCTTATGAAAGCGAGGAGGAAGCACGTGGGCAAGGCAGGACTCCAGAGGCACCAGAGGGCTGATGGCTTCTCTTTGTTCTCCCCACCACTTTGGCTGGGGCCCAGGAGCTGAGTTCCAAGACTTGGGGAATAGTGAGCTTCTGGGGTGAAGTGGTTGATGCACCAAAACATCTTTTAAAGAACAGATAAAGAACAGAAGAGTACCTGGGAGAGCTGGCTGAAACCAGGACACGGTGGGACCATTGGAAAGGACTCTGAACCACAGCAGCAGAAGGAGATCTAGACTTGCAGGGACCCAGGCTCCACGCTAGGGACCTCGACCTTGTCCTGCAGGGAGTGGAGACCCATGAATGGATGTTAGGTGAGTTTGGTTTGCACATAGCCTTGGTATATGTTGATAGAGTTGTAACTGATGACTAATCCAGCCTCACATTTGCAGCCCACAGTCCCTTGCATATAGAAGATCATCATTCTTCTGTCCTGTGCCATGTGATTGTTACTGAGGAGGATGGAGATGACATCATCCACCATGACTTCTCCTCAGGTGAGGGCTGTGGTGAGATGCACCCTGCCGGACCCTCCTCAGGAGACAAGGGTATTGGCAGTTATTCGTGAATGATGTAATGGTGCCACCTCTGCCACAGACTCGACTGTCTGCCCCTGCCCTCGTAGCATGACCAAGCTGTGACTACAGGTGTTAGAGCTGTAGAGAACTGGGACTGCTCTCCCGACTCTCCTAACACTGACAGCAGAGGGAGGACCCAGGCTGTCTTGCTTTTTCCAGCAGAGGCTATTGGGCTAGGCAAGTCTCTGAAGAGAGAGCAGGGCCAGCTTCTCTCATCCCCTAGCCCCCAGGGGCTTTCCAACTGCTGTGGAAGATGTGTATGAAGTACTCTCCCCACTTTCTGGGGCTCTGGCAGTCCCACAGCACACAAATAAACATGGCCTTGCTCAGAGGTGACGTTTGGTCAGAAAGTTGTGGGAATACTACTTAGGTTAATTAGAGAGACCTTGCCTGTGAAAGTAGCAGGAATGTAAATCACTCTCCTGGTGAATTAGCTCTAGGTCCATGTGTTCCCATCTAACAGAAGTGTTTATTTCAGGATCCCAGTGGTAGGAAGTGTGAGTGCTGCTATATCCTGAGTCCTTACTACTATGCAGATAATGCCAGGCCTCTTTAACTAGAGTGAGTTTCGCTAATTTGAAAAATGACACTAAACAGAATTTTACCATTATGAGTGATGGTCAATGTTTCACCAACTCTTTATTGACAGATGAAGCTGCTTTGGTGGAAGGTGCTAAAAAGCTGGGCTTTGTGCAGTGAGAACACCATACTCGGTCATCATGGAAGCAGTAAGTGGCAAACTTGTGCACATTTTAGAACAGCTACTCTCTTGACGATTGTGTATTGGACATAGCATGTCTATTGCAAGAATGATAGCTAAATGTTTACTTTTCTATCTGTGAAAAAACAGAACTGTTGAAAAGTTGTTAATGTAATTATATTATTAGTGTTATTTGCATTACAATACTTGTTTGCTCTTTAAGATGCTTCCCCTTTTTGCATTGGTATGAAAATATTAGTAGCAAAGAACTTCAAAAGTCTAGTTTTCATTCTACAATAGTTGGAAAATTAATTTTGTGTTGCACATAAGGGCATATTCTATGTCTCTTATAGCCTCAGCACCTAAGATTTCTTACACAGTGAAGCCTCACAGTCCTCGGCTTCTGGCTGGCTGGCTGAGAGAGAAGAGGTCAAAGCTTAATATCTCTAATCTATATAGGAGGGTTTTTCTTCACTAAAATAAAGGGAGGTCATGTATTTTCTGATTTTTTTTTTTTTTAGTTTTGCTCCCTATGGTCCAGAGGAAGAAACTTAGTGATAGAAAAAAGATTATATTAAGAAGAAGATCAAATAGGGACCCTTGAGATGGGCAACAGGGTAAAATGATGATGAGGACAAGCAGGGCAGGGAAGTTTGTCATGATGACCAGTTAGAAGGGCTATAATGCATTCGAAGTTCACTTCCAAGAGCTATAATAGAGTGATATTGTTTCTGACTGTTTAGTACTGTAGTCCGTTTTTGCCTTTGCTTCTGTGCAAAACCTGTGAAATATCAGACCTTGTACAAAGTGCTTATTTCTTAGCATCTGCAGTTTCTTTTCTTATGGAGTACAAAGATCAGATTGTGTTTATTTTTATTTTAACCAACAGAGGGAATTTAGCTTAGGGAAGTGTGCAAAAATAAAACAAAGTACTGATTGAGTATAATATTTCCTTTACAGAAGCTTTTTAAAAAATGAGCCCTTTCCCTCTTCCATTTGAGGCTTCTAACCTTAACTGGAGAACTTTCCATTGTATGGGTGCTGCAACGTTTATCTGCATTGAAAAAATGGAGGTTGGGGGTGGTGGGTATGGACTAGTCAACCATAAGTGGGAGAGACAGACAAGAATAGCGGCTTCTGCCTCACTCACATGCCAAAGAAAGACGAGCATCTCGAGAGCCTGTTGATACCGTCCTCTTGGTGTTAGATGCCAGATTGGTACCACATTGTTATTTCATTGAAGTTTTTAGGTCATATTTCTGGGAGTAAAAAAAAAAATATGCTATTCATTAGGACTTGTAAATAATCATAATAAATATAATCCTATTAAACCATTAATACCGGGGTGCCGTGGAACCACAAATTGTCAGATTAGATACCAGGTATTTACCAAGTATTATGATGACCTTGCTGGTCATCATAAGAGCTGAGTCCATGGATGCACGTGGGGGTGGTTAACATAGCCATGGTACCAAGAGACGTGGCTCCTGGGAGCGGAAGCCCTGCTGCTAGACAGTGGATAGTAGCACTGAGGACCTTTATGAACAAGGATCTGAGAGAAGATGAGACAGGCTGAGGAGAAAGGGAACTGGTGGATCCAGAGAGAGGTGAATAAAGATGGGTGAAGGCTGGATGAAGTAGATTATTAGTTGTATTTTAGGATGCAGTGAGGAATAAAGAGTTGTGAAGATGATTATTCAGTCATGTACTTGGTCATTCAAACACATTACTTCACTGATTATTTCTCTTATCCCAAGAGGTGAGTGCTATCACTATTCATCAGTAAGTCAAACACTTAGTGGAAGAAACTGAATTTAAATTCACATCTACTGGGTTCCAAAGGCTACATTCTTTCCACTGTGATGTGTTAGGGAAATACCAGATTAGATTAAAAATTTTGAAAGCAGGCCTAGTATGGTGGCTCACACCTGTAATGCCAGAAATTGGGAGGCAGGGGGATCACTGGAACCCAGGAGTTCGACTAGCCTGGACAATGCAGTGAGACCCTATCTCTCAAAAAACAATTTTAAAATAGCTGGGTGTAGTGGTGCACACATCTAGTGCCAGCTACCTGAGAGGATCACTTGAGCCCAGGTGGTTGAGGCTGCTATGAGATGTGATTGCACCACTGCACTCCAACCTGGGCAACAGAGTGAGACCGTGTTTAAAAACAAAAACAAAAACAAAACCATTTGGAAACAGCATACACACCATCTGGGATTTTGTAGATGGAAATAAATTGTGATTCTTGACTTTCTAACTTGAAAAAACCCAAAGAAGAATAGCATTTGATTAACTGCCCTAAAACCAGGTTATCATCTCTTACCTGCACCAAGATCCAAAAGCTTTTGAATTCCAAAAGTTTTGTCCTAAGTTTGGGGAATAGTCATTTGGCAGCAAAACCTAATCAGAACTGATATGAGGCTATTATAATCTTTATGAATCTCACTGCATGTGATATTAATACATTTTTCTGCAGAAAGTGGATATGTTATAGCAAACAGTGTTGCCCCAGACCCTGCTTGGAACATTATGATAAATGGTCTAGAATGTGCATATACCTATATAAAATTGGAAAATTCTGAATTCAGAAGCATAACTAGCCCCAAGGTTTCTGATGGACCCATGCAGCTTTGTGTTCTTCGTCTTTATTTCTTGGAGGTAGCTACACCAGCCAATTGTTAGGACAGACATATCACTGAAGAAAAATGAGAAGCTTTTACCAGAAGAGCAAGCTATGACCCTAGAAGACTTGTCAGAAAATAGTACATGTTGCAAGAGGCTAGAGGTTGGGAAGGGGAGAGAAAGCAGAAGAGATGGAGGCAGAGAGAGACAGAGAGAAAAAGCGAGTTTATGAGTGGGAGAAAATTGCTTTGAGATTTTAATACTTTACACTTTTAATAGGTAAGAACCTATTTATTTTTTCCTTTAGATGGTACAGGAACAGACAGTAGGAATCCTTAAAGTCCTGGAATTTTCTAGGCCTGCAACTCTTTTATACACTTAAAATAAATGTTTTAAGTGTATGAAGGAGTTTTTGAAAATTTAACTGTATGAAAGTTTTTAAATATATCTTTTTAAAAGCTTTATCTCAGTTCATTTGTATGATTGTATGGCATGACTCAATATAGTACTTAAGCATTAAATACAGCAAACATCTCTCCAAATCTTCTTCTCCTTGGAATTTGAGACTTTTATTAAATAAAATGAAGTAAGTTATTTTCTTTGTTTTATTTAACAGAAGTAAAGTTTCATCTTCTCCTTTTCTTTATACTTCTAGAGTTTGATGTTCTTGCATCAGCAGCTGCAGATGAGTCTGAATAGTTTAGATGTGTGATGAGGACATTAGCTTCATTGGCATTTCCCATGTCCTATGAGGTCTTTCTCCTAGCTGCATCTGAGCATGCCTCTGGAGATCTGAAAAAGTGACAATGACAGATGAGATAAATTCATCTCATTAGAGGGTTGGTCCATGTAGGACAGTTCTCCTGCGCATGTGTGTAAGCATTTTTCCCCAGAGCAGTTTTGAAAATTAAGACTCATACATATTCATTAAATTATTTTATTCCACTAGGATATTTACACTTTGTTATGAGAAAATGCATCTTAATTTTTTTTTTTTTTTTTTGCCTCTTTAACCTTGAACGGTCAATGCTAAAACGGGGTTCTGTTGCTATCTGAATCACATCTTTTCCTGTTATTAAAGTTAGGGTAGTTTTTCTGTAACCTTTATTAAATGATTCATGAATTGTTTGCTCTATCTGCTTTATAAGCTATTGGATAAAGGTCAGTACTGCATTCGCTTGCAGGAAATACCTTCCAGATCTAGTTTTTAGTTTTGCAAGTGTGAACTTTGGCTAGGCAACAACCCTTGGTGTTACATATTTAACGAGAGAGATTGGGGATAGTTGATGACTGTGATAGCTCATAGAGTGGGTGGTGATGGTGTTCTGGGTATGGAGGTGAGGGACATGTTAGGCAGCTCTCCAGACTTTCTTATGCCCCATCTCTTGTTGGAGACAGTCCATTACTCTCTAGTTGCATTAACTAGGACCAATGGTTAATGGACAAGCAAGGAGGAGAAAAGGGAGTTAGATAAAATTGGGTGAATATGGATTAAAATGTGAAGATGATGATGATGATGATGATGATTATTATTATTATTTGAGACGGAGTTTTGCTCTTGTTGCCCAAGCTGGAGTGCAATGGCGCGATCTTGGCTCACTGCAACCTCTACCTCCTGGGTTCAAGCAATTCTCCTGCCTTAGCCTCCCAAGTAGCTGGGATTACAGGTGTGCGCCACCACGCCCAGCTAATTTTTTGTATTTTTAGTAGAAACAAGGTTTCACCATGTTACCAGGCTGGTCTCAAACTCCTGATCTCAGGTAATCTGCCTGCCTCAGCCTCCCAAAGTGCTGGGATTACAGGCATGATGTAATACCTCACCTGGCCAATGAATTTTAAATTATATGGGAGAATAGGAAAGAACAGGTCATTTGTGGTTATAGTTGTGGTCCCATCTCTTTTTAGTTAATCTTTTACCTGATGCCACTTAATCTTTTTTTTTTTTTTTTTTTTTTTTGAGATGGAGACTCACTCTGTCACCTAGGCTTAAGTGCAGTGGTGTCATCTCGGCTCACTACAGCCTCCTCATTCCACGTTCAAGCAATTCTCCTGCCTCTGCCTTCTGAGTAGCTGGGATTACAGGCTCCTGCCACCATGCCCACCTGCTTTTTGTGTTTTTAGTAGATATGGGGTTTCACCATGTTGGTGAGGCTGGTCTTGAACTTCTGACCTCAAGTGATCCACCTGCTTTGGCCTCCCAAAGTGCTGGGATTACAGGCATGAGCCACTGCGCCCAGCCTCACTTAATCTTGATAACACAACACTCTTTTCAAGCAATTGCTTTACATATTGAGAAACTAAGATATGGATTTGTTTTTTGTTGTTGTTGTTTTTTGTTTTTTGACAGGGAGTTTCGCTCTTGTTGCCAAGACTAGAGTGCAGTGGCGTGATCTTGGCTCACTG